AAAAAAAAAAAAAGAATGGAGAAAAGAGACTGGAAGTTTGCTTGCTTTCTAGAACCACTTCATGGGGTTCTGTCAGAGTGTCATCTTCCTGTGTGGTTCATTACTTTCTGTATATTTCGGAAAGTAATGAATAGAGATGGATTTCCCCTTTGTCCCTAGTGGAAGGTAGGCAGCTGGACAGTGCAGATGGACTCAGGGTCATCCAGGGCCTCATAATTCCTAAAGGAGAGGACTCACATCATGAAGTTCCTCCCCGGTGCCAGGCCCCTCATGAGTACCTGTCATGGGCTCTCACAGCCTTCCGTATGGGGAGAACTATAGATGATCAGTCCTGTCTGTGGTAAAACATGGATTTCTTAAAAGTCTGCGGAATGATGAAGGGGAACCAAGGCAATAGCACACTGGTTGTTTCTTAGATGGAAGTAAAGCACTGATTCTGGTCTGTTCACTAGACATGGTAGAAGTCTGTTTCGAAATTTGTAATAAATAAGTTTTATTTCCAATTTTCAGGAACCCATTTTGTTCTCTTGCTCTATTGCTGAGAACATTGCTTATGGTGCCGATGACCCTTCCTCAGTGACTGCTGAGCAGGTGGGGAGAGTGGCAGAGGTGGCCAACGCGGCTGCTTTCATTCGGAACTTCCCCCAAGGGTTCGACACTGTGGTCGGAGAAAAGGGGATTCTCCTCTCAGGTGTGTTTTTGTTACTGCTTTGTAGCAAAATCCTCTAGTCAGGTGCTTCAAAGAGCTCTCCAAACATTTACATACTGCAGTGTTTTTCTTTGTTATTTTATTTTATTTTTAGAGTCAGAGTCTGTCACCCAGGCTGGAGTGCAGTACTGTAGTCACAGCTCACTGCAGCCTCAGTCTCCTGGCTCAAGAATCCTCTTGCCTCAGCCTCTTGGGAAGCTGGGAGGACGGGTGTGAGCCGCTGTGCCTGGTTCACAGAAAATTTAAAACAAAAAGGTTTCATATATCATCTATGATTTTTATAAAATGTAGGCAGTTTAAAAATGGAATTGGCACAAACAACATAAACTGGGAAGAGTGTGCCCTCTGGGACTTTCCAAATAGGACTTGGGAGTAGAGTCCCTGGAGGACGGATGGGAGGACAGAGTGAGGCAGAGGTGAGGGCAATCACCACGGACCTCCTGCTGACCTCTGTCCTCACCTGCCTCCACACCTACCCTCATTTTGTTTGCTTGCTTGTGGTAGAACTTGAGTTTAAGAAAAGAGCAGCTTTCTCTGCCTGTAACCTCCATGTTCACACACACGTGCTGCCATGCCCTCTGGGGCAGGAAAAGAAGAGAACATTGTGAGAATGGCAGATGTGGAGTGGGGCCGTAGGATGAGCCGCCAGACCCAAATCACTGATGCCCTGTGCTCCCAGACATTTTAGGCACTCTTTGGAATCCTCCAAATATCTTAAGTTTCTGGTTTCCTTACTATGCTGGATATTCTCTTGGGGAGGACGTTATGTGGTGGCTCATGCCTGTGATCCCAACACTTAGGGAAGGCGAGGCAGGAGGATCCCTTGAGCTCAGGAGTGAGCAAGAGTGAGACTCCATCTCTACTAAAAATAGAAAAAGTAGCTGGAGTTGTGGTGGGTCCCTATAATCCAGCTACTTAGGAGGCTGAGGCAGGCGGCTCACTGGAGCCCAGGAATTTGAAGTTGTGAACCATGATGCCACAGCACTCTCCCTAGGGGAAAAAACAAAAGCATAGCCCTTCACACCTTGTAGGTTCAGATTGTGGCTCTGCTGCTTACCAGCTGTGGGACCTTGGGCATTTTACTTTGTTTCTCAGTTTATCATCTATAACATGGGAACAATTATAGAGTATACTGGGTAGCGCCTGTAGCTCAAGCGGCTAAAGCACCAGCCACATAGACCAGAGCTGGCGGGTTCAAACCCAGCCCCTGCCTGCCAAACAACAATGACAACTACAACCAAAAAATAGCTGGGTGTTGTAGCGGGTGCCTGTGGTCCCAGCTACTTGGGAGGCTGAGGCAAGAGAATCACTTAAGCCCAGGAGTTGGAGGTTGCTGTGAGCTGTGATGCCATGGCACTCCACCCAGGGCAACAGCTTGAGGCTCTGTCTCAAAAAAAAAAAAAAATGATAGGGTATACCACATAGGACTTTTTAGAAAGATTAAATGAGATAATACAGGTAATGCATTTAGAAAATACCTGGAAAAAAAAAAAAAAGAGAATGCCTGGCATATGGGAAATTCTTAAATTCCTATTAGCAATGATAACTTTTGTTATTAATTGTGAGATCAATAGGGAGACAATACATTTTAAAAGTATGTTTCTATTCTCTGTCACTCGGCTGTGTGACTGGAAGAAATTACTATCAACTTACTATATGACTTAACAAAAAGCCTCTTATTAAGAATTGTTGTTAAGGCTCGGCGCCGGTGGCTCAAGCAGCTAAGGCGCCAGCCACATACAGCTAAGGTGGCGGGCTCGAATCCAGCCCCGGCCCGCCAAACAACAATGACGGCTGCAACCAAGAAATAGCCGGCGTTGTGGCAGGCGCCTGTGATCCCAGCTACTTGGGAGGCTGAGGCAGGAGACTCACTTGAGCCCAGGAGTTGGAGATTGCTGTGAGCTGTGATGCCACAGCACTCTGCCTAGGGGGACAGCTTGAGGCTCTGTCTCAGAAAAAAAAAAAAAAAAGAATTGTTGTTAAGGCTTTTCCCCCTTCATATTGTCTTTGTCAGGTGGGCAGAAGCAGCGGATAGCAATTGCACGCGCCCTGCTTAAGGTAAGCCTGCCAGTGGCTGAGTTTTTTAATATTGTTTTTATTAGGGACTTTGTAATTTGTATTTACTATTTATCTTCTAGCTTTTTTTTTTTTTTTTGGAAGGGGGAGTGTAGGTATCTGAGAGACATTTGTGATGAAAGATTAATTGGGAGTTTCACTGAGTGCATGGTGTTGAAATTTAATAAATATCTCTTGGGTACTGGGAGCCCAGTACTGAGCTAAGGTTGTCAAAGGAAGCTTTTAACATGTGGTCCTTATGTCTAGAACATGACATCTAACTAGTGAAACAGTGACTATTGCCTTAAATATCGAAACAGTACAGGATCCACACGGTGTTCTCTAACCACCTGCTAAGCTGAGCAGTGCAGACTGGAAGGGCTTAGATAAGCCGCCTTCGGAGAAGAGGGAAAAGCCATTTTAGTGGAAGGCCAGGTATTCTATTCTTGAGGAAATGATATCCTTCCCCGTTGTCCTGCGGCTGTTCAAAGGTGTGTAGGTGATTTTTTTTTAAAGCAGCTTTATTGAAGATAATTTATATACCACAAAATTCATCTATTTTGAATGTACTTTTCTGCGATTTTTAGTAAATTTGCAGAGTCGGTTATACACACAATTCAGTGTTAGACATTCCTGTCACCCCACAAGATCCTTCATGCCCATTTGCAATCTTCCCCCTTCCCAGGCCACCACACATCCACTGTCTGTCTGTCTGTCTGGATTTGCTCTTTTGAACATTTCAGATAAATGAACCAGATGGCACGTGGTCTTTGGCCTCTCACCTCTTTTACATAGTACAGGCATGTGGTTTCTGAGGTCTCTGCACTGCGTGCTTCTGTCTGCGCTGCATCCTTCCTGCCACTGAATTGATGGACGTGCCTCTGTAGCTTGATCCCTTCAACGGTGGATGAACATTTGGGCCATTTCTAGTTTGGGGCGATTGTGAATAATATATGAATGAATGTTATCTGTGAGAGTGAAATCCTAGGCAAAGCCAGACTTTAGTGTGTTTTGCCAAGCTAGTATGCCAGCTTGCTGTTATGTTTTTCCATTTTACAAGTTAGTTTGATGTTTCTAAATGAAAATGGGCAAGCCCTGAGAGTTAAGATCCCATCTTACTCATTGCAGATTCCCTTCTCACACTGTCAGCTGGTTGACCAGCAGGATAACACCATGCTGTGAACAACATCTAGTCAGATGATCACTGTAATAAAAGTTTTAAATTGGCTTTAGGGCGGCGCCTGTGGTTCAAGGAGTAGGGCACTGGCCCTATATGCCGGGGGGTGGAGGGTTCAAACCTGACCCTGGCCAAAACTGCAAAAATAAAAAATAAAATTGGCTTTAACTCTTCTATTTATGTAGTTAACCAAGAAAGAAATTTGTGTTTTTTTCTTTTTATATAACAGCTTTACTGAGATATAATTCACTTACTATATAATTTAACCATTTCTTTTCTTTTTTCTTTTTTTTGAGACAGATTCTCACTGTGTCACCCTCAGTAGAGTGCCATGGTGTCACAGCTCACAGCAACATCAAACTCTTGGACTTAAGTGATTCTTTTGCCTCAGACTCCCAAGTAACTAGGACTACAGGCGCCCACCACAACGCCCGGCTATTTTTTGGTTGCAGTTGTCATTGTTTAGCTGACCTGGGCCAGGCTCAAACCCACCAGCTTCGGTGTATGTGGCTCGCACCCTACTCATGGAGTTACAGGCGCCAAGGCCCATTTTCAATTCAGTAGTTTTTAGTGCATTCAAAGTTGTGCATCCATCATAACGATCATTTCCAGAACATTTTCATCACCATCAGCCAGAGACCCTCTCTTTTTTAGCAGCATCCCCCCCACTTCATTTCCTCCATGGCCCCAGGTAACCACTGACCTGCCTTCTGTCTCTGTGGATGTGCCTGTTCTGGACACTTCATGGAAGCTAAATCACACATGCACTGTCCTTTGTGTTGGGTTTTGTTCACTACTTACCATAGTGTTTCCGAGGTCCATCCACACTGGGGCACGTGTCAGAATTTCATTGCCTTTTATTGCTGAGAGTTTGTGTTTTTCTAATAATATCCTTTTTTCTTTTCTTTTCTTTTCCTTTTTTTTTCTTCTTTAGAATCCCAAAATTCTTCTCCTAGATGAAGCCACCAGGTGAGGATATCTTAATAATATATATAATTGTATTAAACCAAATTCTTCCTTAACCAAAAACCTTCGTTCTGTACTTCAAGTGGTACAAATGTAAACACTTTTTCCTCCCATGACTTTAAAGTGATGGAATCTGAATTAATAATGGCAGGTGAGAGGCAGTGGGGAGAGTGAATCAGGAGGCGAGGTTCTAATTCTGGTGCAGACAAGTGTGATGAGTCCTTATCATTCCTGACCACTGACTGGGCAGGTGCTTTACTACTCAGGTCACAGTAGATGAGGTGTTTCACAAGTTGCCATATGTAGGGGAAATGGGAAATCATAGCAACATGTACCTTTTTACAAAATATTCATACAAAATCGTACAAAACATTTACAAAATATTCTCTACATGTCAGCCACCTCTTTCTACACACACACAGTCTTCTCTCCCACTTGTGGTAGACAAGGTCCAAGACATCTGTTGTTATACTTTGGAAATACCCTGTAGTTTTTTTTTTTTTTTTTTGAGACAGAGCCTCAAGCTATCCCCCTAGGTAGAGTGCCCTGGCATTACAGCTCACAGCAACCTCCAACTCCTGGGCTCAAGCGAGTCTCATGCCTCAGCCTCCCAAGTAGCTGGGACCACAGGCGCCCGCCACAACGCCTGGCTATTTTTTGGTTGCAGCCGTCATTGTTGTTTGGCGGGTCCGGGCTGGGGATTCGAACCCGCCACCTTAGGTGTACGTGGCTGGCGCCTTAGCCGGTTGAGCTATAGGCGCCGAGCCAATACCCTGTAGTTTTATGGAGACCAAGGAGCCCTAACCTTCTTTCTTAATAGTATCTTTAGCCCAAGCAGTCAAACTTCTGGTCACAGTAAAAATTCCCCACTCACGAGGGGCCTTGTGCATATTTGAGAAGCATGTGGGTGTAGAGTGTACGTGGCCCTGACATCTTTTGCTCTTGCTCCTGTCAGCGCGCTGGACGCTGAAAATGAGCACCTAGTGCAGGAGGCTCTGGATCGCCTGATGGAAGGAAGAACAGTGCTAGTTATCGCCCACCGTCTGTCCACCATTAAGAATGCTAATATGGTTGCTGTTCTGAACCAAGGAAAAATTACTGAGTATGGAAAACATGAAGAACTGCTTTCAAAACCAGATGGGATATACAGAAAGCTAATGAACAAACAAAGTTTTATTTCAGCATAAAGAAACAATCATTGGTAAATTGAATATGAGAGACTTTAAAGCAAAACAGTGTTTTTGCAGAAGAAAAATCTTAGAGACTGTATAAAATCTGTAAATCATACATCAAATTATTTGAAATATGCCTATTTTTCCAAAGTGTATAAATATTGTTTTGAAATGTACCTGTTCTCAAGAACTTTTCCTTCAGTGTTTTAACAACTGTAACTTTCTAAACGTCAGCAGCTCTGAAGTCACTTTCAGGTTTTGTACTTTCCTTCATCTTGGAATATTTTAATTGATACAGCACAACACCTCATGTTCTTATACTGCTGTGAACGATTGAAGCTATTGTCGAATGACAGCTTTAAAAAGGGAATTACAAATAAACTCTAATTATTTTAGGCCCATTTACCAATCACTGTGTAATTTTTTGGTAGTATTCCACCTACATTGACTCTAATTTTATTAGAGTAATGAAAAGGAAAATCTAGCCTTTTATTTTTATCCTGATAATCTCACAAAGTGAATCTGACTTATCAGAAATAGTTAATATCACATGGAGAGAAGGGAACATTTTTATTGCCTGTCTCCTGTGTCTTCAAAGGTGTGAAAATGTAGGAGGACGTATTCCTATGGGATATGACTATGTTCATATTTGTGCAGGTTTCAACATTTCGGCACATGAAAGCCTAAGGAGTTTTTGAAAAAGGGAAGAGACCCATACTTTGAACAGACAGACTTCTATTTTCTTAATTCATGTATTTATACGAGTACTTTGGGGAAGGAAGGTATGACCTGCCAGTTATTAGCAAGAAAGATAGATAAAAATGCATTTTACATTTAAGTTGTTTGAAGGCATGTATTTTGAAATACTTCATCTGTTTAAAAAATGCATAATTCCCAGGCAAATTTTACAGCATTTTATAATACTTTGGAATTTCATTAATAAGGTTAAAATCTGAACACTATAATTAATTTTCAGCCTCAAGCCATTTGAAGAATCTTCTCTGTTCTATCAAATAATAAGAAACCTTAAGAATGTGTCAGTCTCTTGAAAAGAGGCATTAAATAGAAGCTTCTTTCTTTTCTTTTTTTTTTAGAAATAGACTCACTTTATCACCCTCAGTAGAGTGCCGTAGCATCACAGCTCACAGCAACCTCAAGCTCTTAGGCTTAGTTGATTCTCTTGTCTCAGCCTCCCTAATAGCTGGGACTACAGGTGCCTGCCATAATGCCTGGCTATTTTTTTGTTGCCATTTGGCTGGAGCCAGGTCCTAACCTGCCATCCTTGGTATATTGGGGGCAGCACCCTACTCACTGAGCCCACAGGCACCACCCACCTCTTTCTTTTATTTATGGTTATAGCCTAATTCACCTAAATATTTCAGATTTCTTAAGCAATGAATGTTGACAACCACAAAATTTGCCAGCTGGGCGCCTGTGGCTCAAGTGGCTAAGGTGCCAGCCACGTACACCTAAGGTGGCAGGTTCGGATCCCCAGCCCGGACCCGCCAAACAACAATGATGGCTGCAACCAAAAAATGGCCGGGCGTTGTGACGGGCGCCTGTGGTCCCAGCTACTTGGGAGGCAGAGGCAGGAGACTCACTTGAGCCCAGGAGTTGGAGGTTGCTGTGAGCTGTGATGCCATGGAATTCTACCCAGGGGGACAGCTTGAGGCTCTGTCTCAGAAAAAAAAAAA